ATCCCTTACACATCTCACTGAAAGACGTGACTGACATTTTTGTTGCATATTTGACTGGTCTATCCCTGGATTTCTTTGTCCAGTCATCTGAGATTTGATAGCAGTCTGACATCTCTGTTGCAGGGGGAATATTGGAACTTGTTTTGTTAGGCCTTCCCAAGACTCCTGCTTTCAGCTCAAAATAGCTGTAATCCATTATCTATGCTAATTCTGTAGTCTGTTAAATATAAATTATAAGCAAATTTGCTCATTCATGACATAATTTGCATAAACTCTTACATATGGAGCACCACAGTATTTTGTAGCTTTATTATATGCTGTGCCGAGCCAGACTTGAATTTTTCCAACAGAAATATTTCTAACAGTCTATTTTGGTCATCTTAATTTAATCAAATTTATTATGACTTCCCAGTCTCATGTGTACATTTTAGTTGAAAACATAGATCTATATTAGCCTCACAGAACTGCTGAAAGGAATAAAAAATGCTGCAGATCATTACATAGTCTTAAGAGGTCCAACTTTGCCTTTGCGAACACCTGAAAGACAGGGAGGGAGGTTCTGAGCATTTGTAAAAGAGGAGTCGTAGGTTTCTTAATTAAATCAGTGTGCAGTGGGTGTACGCTGCCGAAGCTGCCTGCAAGGGCCTCCACAGGTTAGAGACTGAGCTGGCTGTATTTACGTGCAGGGCAGAGAAGGAAATGAAGCGGCAGAGGACTCTGCAGAAGCAATTGGCAGCGAGCCATCTGTTAAGCAACCACAGCTACATCAAAGATATCTAAAAATACCTCAGTTAGTTTGGGTGCATAATGCCCTAACTCCAGTGAAAAGGCACTTTGAAAACAACCAAAACTGTGTTTGAAAAGATTTGGGGTTTATTCATATCACAATGAAATAGCTAAGAAAAATTGCTCTCATAGGCACTGTGATTAAATACTGGGTAAGTTTTGTGCAATAATTATTTAATTCTGTTAGTCTCTATTTATTCCACCACCTTCTCTTTGAAGTAGAAACTACTATTCGACTGCTTCCAATCCTGTTGCTTCCCAGCCTTACAGTGCCATCATATCCTGTCTCCTTTTCACTTCTCCTGAAATTTTTCCCTCATTTATTGTTCCTCCAAGCCACCTTTTTTCACTGGTTTCCATCCCACTCCATTCAATTGTCGTCGCTGCGCTCTTATCTGATTGCCCAGGTTTCCTCTGAGAGTCCTCAGTTCCATATGCTGCTTAGGCTTCCTTAGAGCTTCTCCCATTGCAACTGCAAGCCTCATCTGTCTCTAAACTCTAGATTGCCTCTCTTGCATTTCCTTGTCTTTCCTAACTTACACATTTATCTCCAAATGGAGATTCTATTCTGTGGAACATATGTCTTCCACCTGTACCTTGGCTCCATCTGTCTGTCTTGTACCACCACTGTAAGGGAGTAGGGAGCAAATAGGACAACTTGTTCGGTGTTGTTTTAATATTTCTTCCAAATTTACTTGAGTATTTTTCACACCTCATAAGCCTCAGGCTTGAGAAGTCAGTGTGTAGATGTAGTCCTGATGAAGGCATCAGTGTAAAGACGCTGAATGAAATCTCCTCATTTTCTTCCTTGTCCTACCTACGGAGTAGTGTCATCATCACTGGTGTGAGAGAGCCAGGAGCAACAGTCTTGATTTGTGATTCACTTTTGCAGAAATACTGTGGCATTTTTGCAACAGGCAAAAGCTGGCTCATGGTGAGAGAACCAAGAACCCTGTGGTAGATTTTCCTACTTTGTTTCGTAGTTTCATCTCAAACAAGGAAAATTCATAAGCTTAGTGCCAGTAGTAATGAGATTATGGAGTGTCTTAAAATTTAAAAATATTAAATAATGTGGGACCTGAAATAAAAACATATTTATTTGTAGGCCTGTGAATCTGCCAGTCTGAAAACATCTGACTCTGTAAATGTTAAAATATTTCAGTCTTTAACTGTGATAAGTGTACTAAATCTCATGATTTTAGTACATTCATTATATTCTCCCTCTTGCACGGTGTCCCAAAACCCCAGTAGCCTCTAGTCCTGTCAAGTCAGCAAAGGAAAACTGTGACTTACTAGCATTGCAAGGGGCTAGCTTCAGGAAGTCACAAGCTTAGTGATTTATTTTTCATAACCATGGTTAAAAGTATCTAAAATTGCCCATGAAACAAAGTTTTAACAATCTTAACTCAGCCCTCTCTAGAGTACTGGTAAAATGTAAAGATACTGAGACACTATAAATCTTTAATAAATTGCATGCAGGTAAATATTAGCAGTTAAGTTATGAGGTGAACACAAGTGAGGATAGGGCTTGACATTAGTCTCTCTGGGAAGAAGCATCAGAAAAGCTGGTGAACAGCACTTCAGTAAGCTGTTCGTGGAAACTAACACTTGACAGAGATAGATGCAAAGTATTTGCAAATCATTACAGCCCAGCTAGTTTTATTCTTTTATATAGATACACCTTTGTGTATATGCATCCGTATATATATTATAGAAATATATATGTTATGTAATTAAGAAAGTGCTGCTAGTGACATGGTGACTGCAGTTCCTATGCACTGCGCATTTTAAGATATGCATTAGTTAAGGACGTGCCAAGGCTGGATTCTCTGGTGGCTGATTTAAACAGCAGTTGTCACTGTGAAAGGTTTTTACGTAGCAGCAGCCATTTTGATTAAATCTATCTGGTTAGGCTGCAAATGTGAAAGCAGACAGTGCTCCCCAGTTTATAGAAGTCTGCCTGAAGTAATAAATGTAGACACGTATATTTTGGAAGAAATGTATTTAGAAGTGTATTTTGAGGGTTATACAGCTGTTTGGGCTTTCTGCCCTTTCAGATTTTGCTGCTGCTAAGTCTATACATTTTTAATAATCACATTGCCTGCTAGCAGTGACTTTTCGTGAAGGTCATTTTTCTTGTGAAGTTAGCAAATGGACGTGAATTTCATTGAAGGACTCCCTGAGCTGCAAGATCATTGTTTATGGAACTCTTTTGCATCTTGTACTACCTTTGAAGCCTCTTCAGAATTTTAACTAATGATATCTTCAAAGTGTCACTGTGCTCAAGGGCAAAAGAAAAGAAATCTCAAATACGCTTTATACTTAAAACTAGTTTTGGATAGCTTTGAAGCATGGTATTAGCTGAAAATAAAAAGCATAGATATACACTCCCAGCATATGCACACACAAAATTCAGTGTATTTTTCATTCTGTTTTTTCTTTCTACACCATTGCAATGCATTTTTCATCTATAGTACAAAAATCATCAGCTGTATGGACAGTCTTTGGAATTTTTATTATGCAATTGATAATATCTCAGCTTTTTGGCAATCTCCCTCTCTGGAGAGCTTTTAGTTTTAAATACATCCTACATTGTTTCTAGCCTGTTTCTTCTCATTTTCCTTTTGTGGTAATACAGACTGTAGGTTGCATTTATATGCTGTTTTGTTTCTGAATGGAAGATGGCAGATACTAAAACCCATGTGCTATGCTTGAATTAAGGGAAACTGATGGTCTCAGCCTTGAATTTAAGTTGTTTGGTAAAAGTCACAGCTGCTGCTTCCCACAACTGAGTATATGCTGAGTTTGCTTATAGTTAGTAGATCCAAGCCTTTTTTCTTGATAATTGTGCCTGATGTTTGCTGATATATTTCTCTAAAGCATGTTAAATGTAAGTGGCAATATATGTTGTTATGGCCAGTGGAATAGATGCACTGATTTTTTTTGTTTGGTTGTTTGTTTTATTTCTTTCTGTAAAGTGTTCTAAGTATAGTGCTTTGCAGTTAGGACTCCTACGTCCTTACAGTGATGTTATTGACTAACTCTGCCATTCTTCTTCTCTGTGTCTTTGTATTTCTATTTGTAAACTAGGTATTTACCAAAGTACACAGTACTGATTTATAAAGTAATCTTCTCCACAAGACCCTGTGTCTGTTTTTTCTTCCATTTTATTATTTTACTGTATTAAACTGCCAGGAAAATTTAGCTTATTCGGAGATTCCTCAAGTTAAAGTAGTACTTTTCTGTTGTTCCTTTTGATTAGTTGTACCATCAAAGCATGGCCATTTGCTGGGTATTTTACAATGGATTTCACAATTTTATGAGCTTTGCTAACATCTCAGTTGTGCTAAATAACTTAGAACTTTGATTTAGTGCCTGAATCAAGATCCAATGAACAGCTACAGCTGTGACAGGAGTGAGACAGCGGTGGGGATCGTAACCTTCCTCTGAAGTGTGAAGTTGGAACTAAAGTTAGAATTTGGGGGACTATAACACAGAATGCCTGCTTTCATTTGAGAATGTTTATGTTAGGAAGGAAGGACTTATGCATGTCCTTGGAAGATAATTTCCCAGGTGATTCTGTGTGCAAAAGGGACCAAAAGGACAAGAATTTCCAGACTCCGCTTGTCAGCCTTTTGATGCCCACTGCGCAGGCCATCAGCCTGTTTGGAATCGCTATTTTGCTGACGTGATCAAAAGGGAAGGCTTCGGCCTCTGCCCATTTCCATTACCGTTTTACTCTTTGCCTGCCTGCCTGCTACATGGGCTTCCCTTTGCAATTTTTTTTCTTTTTTTTTTTTTTGTGTCTTTTGCTCAAGCTGATTCACTCTTCTCATCCCTGAGCAAATCTCAGCTGGAAAATGCAAGCGAGATCGAGGAGAAGGCGACAGCAACATTTAGTAGTCTCTTCGTATTAAATCTTCTCTCTGTTTACTTCCCATACTCTCTTCTGATAGAGCCATAATTTTTGTGGTGTTGATTAATGTTTCATACATATTTAGGGTCCTGACTTTAAAATTTCAATTAACAGTGTTTTGTCCCACTCCCTTTCCTTATTTTACAGCCAATAGAAAATTCTTTAAAAGCTTTCAGTATTAAGAATTTATCATGAACATCTTTGGAGTCTGAAACAAATAAAGGAGATATTCCTACCCCAGATTTAACTGTCCTGTTCATTTTTTTCACTCACTTTGCCATTTCATCTTTGATTACAGGCCACTAAAGAAGTAATAGAGAGAGAAGCCCCAGGGATGGCCCTGGCAATGTTGATGGGATCACTTAATGTTACACCTCTGGGCATGCTTTCTAGGTAAGAATATTTCTTTCAAAATATTAAGTGAACTATTTCCTTAGAAATACTTGAGATAATGGAATAAGGAGGCAGAAAATAACTGATGACTGTCATTTTTCTCAAGGTTAGAAGTCTTAACTTCAGAGAAGTGGTCAAATTCCTGGAATGGTAATTGCACTCTCTGATTAAATTCCTGTTGGAGTTTCCATTAGGCACTGTATGCACCTGTATTTGCTTTGACAACCTATTTGTTTTATTGATGGATGCTGTTAAATAGCTGTATTTTCACATAGAGCTGTGGCATTTCAGTGGCGAGTGAAATATTCTTCAGTACATTGGTCATCAAGTATCAAAAGGCTTATTCTAGAAGAAAGAAAAAAAAGAGATAATACACATTTTGATGTTGCATTTTATGTATCCAGTACCAGTAAAAACTCCTTGATTAAGTTAAAAGGTATTTTATCCCATGATTTTAGATTTAATACTTTAACTCCTGAACTTTGTTATTTCTTTCATTATTTGTGCTTCTTTTCTCTTTTCTTAACTCTTGTTACCCTGTATTTCTTTCAGCAAATTCTGTTCATTGTATTTCTTGCAGATATTCAGTTATGCTTCATTTTGCTTATGATAGACTTAGTGTCAATACATTTCATAAGTTAATTTGTGCTTGCACATTGTTTCAAGGTAGCTAAAAGCTAATGAATTAGTTTTTCAATTTCTCATTGAATAATGGAGATACAACAACAAAATAATTATAGAAGTAATAAATGAAAAAGAAACTTGCAGATAGGTTATTTGTATTGAGGTGCTTGCATTTTTAATGAACATTTAGATTAGAGTTTTGGAGATTTGATAGAGTATTTGAAAACTTTTTGTAGTGTTTTGTGTGTGTTCAAGGGCTATATTACTAAGTTAACATCTTTGGATTCTGTCCAAAGCAGCAAGTATTTGCAATTTTATATCAGGAAGAGTATTTCATATCATAGTTTGCCTTTATCTGAAGGGAAAGGATAACAGGGAGTGCAGCAGCAAGGAAAGGAAAGGTTAATTCAGCAATTCTGATTAGGAGTAGGAGAGCTGTTTAGATGGTACTGCATAACCAAATTTGGTTTAGGGTTTGATCAGAGTGGATAGAAGGATGGTTGTAATGGTAGTGGAACCAGGATGCAGAATTGCATCCTCATTCTTCTGTACATAGAGCAAGAAAGTGTCCCGTAGTTTACAGCCACTTTCAGTAGTTATTGAAGAGAATGCCAGGAAATAACTTTCCTCTCAATCTATACTGAAAGCATTTTACAAAGATACTGCACGCAATCATATTAGACTTTCAAAACAATTTCCCTTCAAAAATCCATATTTCATCCCTCAAAGTAATCATCATACAAAACATTCATACTTGTATAACATTGTTAAGGTCATGCTTAAGTACACAAGTATTGCATAATTCCAGCATCATAGTTTCTTCTGCAATCTCAGTTCTATGCGATTGTACATATAGGGTTTTTTTCCATCTTTTTTTAATAGAATTCTTCTGTAAGTGTTAAAGCTAGAGGGGACAAAAAAGCTTTCTTGGTTTTGATTGTCTTATGTGTACTGCTGTATTTTTTTTGCTGGTTTATATTTAGGATCTTCTCTGACTGCATACTCGCTTCCCCTGGAACTTAAACTACTCTTTAAACCCTGTAAATTGAGGTCACCTATTTATCCCCCTTTTACAATAAGAACTGAGACATACATTGATAGAGGTCAAAAACATGCATTAATTTTAGGTACACAATTTGAGAAGTATAGGTTTTGATTTTTCAGAATGCTTCATGTTAAATGTCACTTATTCCAAGCTTAGCTCTCATTAACTTCATTTTGACTCTTAAATAATCAGCACTTCCACAAATCAAACTTCAGTGTGTCAAGCTGAATGCACACAAGTGAGGAACAAGCAAGTACTTCTTATTTGTGAAAAGTTTCCTTAGGTGGCTTGTCCAGCAGTACATAGAAGTTCTCTGACAGAAAGAGTCTAGTTTTTGATTTTGCAGAGTAGCTTGCCAACCGTAAAGCCAGGCTTTCTGGTACTATATAAGTAACAGATGATATAAGTGTCTTACATGCAATCTTTACATTTTTTTATGAAACCACCATTGGTGACAGGCACATCTTGGGACTGAGACACGTATGCTGCATAAAAATATATGATTTAGCTTTAAAAAGTTATTGCACTAACTGCACATGAGCGAGACATTTAATGACATCAGGAAGTTTTAGTTCTAGATGTTCCTTCTCTTGCAGAAGATACTCTGCACTGTAGGTGTCATTCTTACAGATAATTTTGCATGTAAACCCTCGCGGTTTTAAAAGGCATCAAAAACAAAAGTTGCATTATGAAGCATTAAGCTCCTATGAATCATTCAAATGGAAACATTACATCAAGCACATTGACTTTTATCACTTGAATTTACAGACATTGTTACAGTTTATAGGTTGTCTTCCAGCATAGGTTATAGGACCAGCATTAGGAAGTAGTGCTTGCTGATGAACAGGAATAGTGTGACTGTCGTGTTTTGGATTCTGTTGTAAGGTCCAGCAGGGAATATCCTGGAGGATCATCGAAGTTTCTCTGTGTTTGCTGAGAGTTTCCTTTTCTTCTCTGTGGCTTTTGAACTGTCCTTGTCCTGAAATTATCTCTTCTCCTCATTTGATTCTTTATCCAACTCATCTCCCTTTGCCATTTTGGTCTTTACTGCGGCTTTTAAACCCACTCCCTGATTCCTCACCCATATACTCAATTTTTCCCCATCACAGTTTCCTCCCTGCAAGGTTATGTACTTTTTCCAGATACATCTGACGATATACCTCTTTTTGTATCTCTGTATGTCTGTCTTCTTTTATCCACTGTTTTACTGCCCTCTATTTTTCATTCCATCCCTTTGTTTCTATCCCTATTCTTCTTTTTCAGACTTTTCTTTCTCTCTCTCTCTCTCTTTTTTTTTTTTTTTTTTTCCTCCTCTGTGCTCTGCGTCACAAGGCTGAGGATAACAGGAAATACACAGCATCTCTCTCCCAAGTTACCCGGAGAGCAGGCACATCCTGCATTTTTTATGCTGAAAGCACGAACAGTATTTTTGCAAGCTATGCAGTTCTCACTCGTTTTTACTTTTTTCTGCATGTTCCTGAGCAATTTTGGCAGCTCCATTGCTGATGTGAGCGACTAGATATACTTGTTACCAGTCGAAACTCTTTGCTTGTTGGAGAATGGCTGCTCTTTTAGTCCTTTTTATTACTGGTGACTGTCATTTAACTTATATTGCTCAAAATCATTTAAAGCCGAATAAAGAATTCAAAATGGACATTACTAAAGGAGTTACATGTCAAATACCACTATAAATTCTTCCCGTTTCCCTTATTTTGAATCTGTGGTTAGTTACATCCTACGTTAGGGAACTTGCTGTCTATGCAGGTTTGTGCTCCCCAAGTCTCACCACGGTAGCAGTTCTTTAGCTTGGTCTCTTCCTCTTTATATTGCAGCAGCACAGACTTGCCTAGACTTCTGTCTTAACTCGGAGGTACTTTCTTGACTTGGAGGTGCATGTAAAAAGTAAATACAGGGAAAGAAAGGTGAGGGGTCAGGCAATAGTCAAGCTGACAGTTGACAATAAGATTTCTCTCCTGTTCAGACTGGCTTGACTGTGATATCAAACATTCATTTTTGTGTCACAGAGAAAACCCCCATGCTATTTAATTGTCAACACTATGACAGTTGTCACAAGAAATCTTGTAACCATACTAGAAAATGCCATACTGCCAAGCAATCCCAGCAAGGTAGCTGGGACCCCGCAAACAGTGCTCTTTGACTCAAATTTTTGGCAGCAGCCTATCAAGAAACTTATTTTTATTCCTTGTCTTTTTCTTAGGCTTATGTTTTTATTTGCTAAGGAGATGGTTACATAATTTCTCTCAAACTGTTCTTTCTATGCCTGTGTATTGGTTGTAGTTTTCTTCTTTTCTTATCCCCTCAATCCCAGTCCTGGGCATTTTGACCTCTGGTTCAACCTTAGTGAACAGTGCAGAAAAACAGGAGGCACTATTTCCAAATTTCAGACAAAATCTCTTACGTGTTTTTTTTTGTTGTTATTCTTTTTAGCCTTTAGCTTAAAAAAAAAGCCATAGAAAGTATAAGAGCAGCACAGTTCAGTGCCTGAGTATTTAAGTTCAACCTTGCATCAAGACCGATGTAATGCACTAAAGACAAAAAGAATAGAATAAATAATTTACTGTTTTGATAGCTGGTTTATTTATTTATTTGTTTTGAATTGCATAAGCATTATTTTCGCTTAAGGATTACTTCTTTCTGTGCCTTTCTCATGTTGCATCTTAAAAAGAGAGAAATTGGAGATATTGGATATATTGGAATTAATGCAACCATTGTATCTTCGTATTTTTACCTAGCGAGCCAATCGGCATTTGACATCATCAACCAGATTGCAAAGGAACCATGTCTTTTAACAAACAGGAAATAGATCAAGCAATGTATTTAAGTACAAGCAAGTAAACAATAGAATTAAGAGACCACAGATCTAAATAAGATGAAAATATTACCAATCTTTATATTGTCAATAGAGTGTCAAAATATGTCAGCTTCATCTGATTCTTCTGAAGCTTTTCCTGAGTCTTTTTATAAGAATATGATCAGCAAGCATTCTCAGAAGTGCTGGTAAATAATGAAATTTCTTTCTTCATGTTTTTACAGTGGAGAAATTTCCCTGCAATAATTTAATTTTTTTCTTCTTTCTTTTCAGACCTGTATGTGGAATCAGAGGGAAAACTCTCATAATTAATCTGCCAGGTAGCAAGAAAGGATCACAGGTAAGAAGTGTTTATATTGATCTATTATTGAGGAGCTATCATAAGTACCTCTTGCTTTGAGTGATAGAAATTACCTATTACAGCGAATTTTACAAAAAGTAGTTTAAATGCGTATTCATATAACTGAAAATATCATCACTCTCACTCAGGGAGAATGCAATTCCAGTTTGATTGAGGGTGCTCTGGACAGGAGAGCATCACATATGGTGCAAGACTAAGAGCCTGCTTATAGTGCTCATGAAAAGGATCTAAGGGTGTCTTACACTTCCTCTTTCTTTCAGTCTATACCTGATCTCTGTTTATCTAACGCTTCAAGAATGCCTTCTTTTCCACACAGAAGTAAGAGAAAAGGCCTTCTGTATGACAAAACTTGCTGGAATATGAAGAGTACTCCCAATTTTGCTCAGAAAGATGGAAATTCAGAAGATTTTTAATAGTATAAGTTTTTTTTAATATTTGGTATAGGGATATCAGACTTTACACTTTATGCGCTTTGTTTTTTTCTTGCATTCTTTCAGTAAGGTCAGGGAAATTAGACTCTGATTTTTTTGCATGCTTGCTTCTGGCAGTTTTATATTAGTAACACACGACATTTTAAGATTTAATTATTGCATAAAAGTAAGAATTCCTTTACAGATTTATTACTATTTATTGTTACTATTTATTATTATTTTTAAGAGAGTGTAAAAGTGTAAAGATAAATATTGAAATGCAGAAAACATGCAGAGGAGAATTCAAAGTGAATGACATTCACTCAGTTTTTTATTTCTCCATCTCATAGAATCATAGAATCATAGAATGCTTAGGGTTGGAAGGGATCTCTAGAGGGGGGGGTCACCTAGAGCACGTGGCACAGGACTGCGTCCAAGCGGGTTTTGAAGATCTCCAGAGAAGGAGACTCCACAACCTCTCTGGGCAGCCTGTTCCAGGGCTCTGTCACCCTCACTGTTAAGAAATTTTTCCTTAAGTTCCTGTGGAACTTTTGGTGCTTCAGTTTGTGGCCGTTTCCTCTAGTCCCATCAGTGGCCACCACTGAAAAGAGGCCAGCACCATCCTCTGCACTCCCTCTCTTAAAGTATTTAGACACTGATTAGATCCCCTCTCAGCCTTCTGTTCTCCAGGCTGAAC